AACTTCTCCAGGGCCCCAAAATACCCTCAGACCCCAGAGGGTTAATACAAAATATTCACCATACTTTATTATCCAACACCATGTACAATACTTTACTGGAGTAATAAAGTAATATGCTAAAGAGGCATATTAAGAATAAGGAAGAAAAAAACTACAGTATGGTAAACTGTCAACTGGAGTATTCCTTACTGTTTTCATTCCACTGTCTTGTGGATTTAGCCACAGATTCTCATCCACATCACAATGGATGTTTTCATTATCAGAACATCTTGGAAAGAATCTTCTGGCATGGCAAATCCAAGCCTTACATCTGTGATGTCAATGCACGCATCATCCATGGCCTGGAGAAGAGTGACTTGCCCATCATCTTTATTCAACCTGTGGAGAAAAATTCCTTAATTGGGTTAAAGAAAGGGGAGTATGAGGGTAAATACAGTGCTGTGGATGGGCTTGCTTACATTATCTGAGCATGGTGAAACTGCATTATCCCAAACATACATAGGTCACACCATCAGCTCTACAGACCTAATTTAGGAAGGAAAGCTAGGTCCGTGACCTACCACACTATCTTCCGAAATAGCTGCACACATATTGGCCAGGTACTTTGACAGTTGCTGTCAGTCCTGTGTTCTGTGTCTTGTGTTTTCCACGTGACCCAGTTTTCCCTCATGTGCAATTATGTTATTGCTCCCAGGTGTTTCTCGTCATCCCCTCGTCATGTCGTGTATTTAAAGTGTTTCCTGTTCTGAGTCTAGTGTGTATTGAATGTTCATCTTTCACCGCTACGTGTGTGTTCCTAGTTCCGTTGGATTTTTATTAAAGTCTCTTTGTCTGTCTACTCCACGTCTCCTGTGCCTCGCTCCATGCTCCTCACACTAGCGGTACGTGACAGAATACCGGATACCAAAACAAAAAAGTAAGCGGCGCCCCTTCTCCCCATTTTGTTTTCGTTTTTTTGAATTGTCTTTTGTTTTCCTGTTTGTTTCTCCCCGTGGCATGGAAACCTCCACATGCTTCATTGCCCTAGCCCGTAGGGATCTCCCCTTCTTCGAGTATGCCTGGGAGTTCTGCGGGCTCGCCGCAGCGACAGCATTAGATCAACCACCATCAACTTTCTGTTCTGGCATGGGGACAACTACCATCACCCCGTGGATCTCCCAGACACCAAGGGACTAAGCTGGAGGGAAGGGATCCTCTGGTGTCTGGAGAGTGTCCGGCCCCGAGCCAGAACCAGCCCGTTGTCGAGCCCACCGGCCGTTACTGCATCAAGAGTAATGTAACAGTTTTATCAACTGATAGTTAGATAATTGGGTAACACTTTATGCTCTAACTTGTTACTTCAAAACCTTAAGCCAAACCCTAATCCTAACCCTAAGCACATATAAGTAATATTACTGTCTAATGTCTTATTACACGGTAACAAGGACACCTTAAAATAAAGTGTAACTGATAATAATAGCATTTATAGCATTGGGAGAATGTATGAAAGGGAACATACATGGATTTTTTTTTTTTGCCCACAAGAACGTGTTTTTGACAAAAATATAAGCTTCACATCACTTCTGTTTTTAACTCTCCAGAATTTCTGTGGTCTTAGACTTAGCTCCTAGGCCATTGTAGCGTTTGGACCAATTAGACACCCAATTATTTGTTATATTTAACAAATAATCTCTAACACCCCCTCACCCAACCAAAGGGTCCACTATGAGGATCTATGGACCCTTCCCCCAAAAAGCAGCTAACACCTCAAAAAGGCAGAACAGGCCTCTGGTTCCATGGCAACCAAAGACAAATCATCAGATAACACTAGTTTTATTGCTCAAAGGAATTGCAGGCAGAGCAACACTTACTTCATTTACCCATAGGAAAGACACACAATGCCATAGAAATGGACTCTTCCCTATTCATTCACAGACAAACCTTGACCTTCCTATCACACTTATCCTCAGGTAATTGTGTATATTATTACTGTCCTTGTTTATTGTCTTTTGTATTGTATACTGTTTTATGCATGCTTATGATAGAAACCCTCATTCATGTAATCTTACCTATATACCATGTTTGGTCTCTATGAATTCATCTTTGGATGATCTAATTGAGTTTATATTTATTTGTTGATACTTATGCAACATATTAGTGTTCTAAGAATCTTTAGTAGTTTTGCATCAACACCCAGTCGAATTGCATTTGGAAATTACCATGCTGCGAAGACAAAGAGTCATAAACTTTCCTTCCAAAAGTGCAAGTCACCATTGGCTCTTTGACTCCCGAGAGATGTGACCTCCACAGAACTTAAAAGGCCTCACTTCAGTGACCCGCCTTGCTTTTTAGTCTTTTCACTCATCTCTCATCACCTTCCCGTCTTCTGGTTGCTAAGTCCCAGAGCCTGTTTTCTGACGATTTGTGCTACCCTGTCAGATTTTGCTACCTCCCATTAAAACAGATGGTAGCATGATTCGATAGCGAAAAGTGCTACCTATCAGATTTTGCTTCCAGCATGATATTAATGAGGTGTGAGGCTGTACACCTACCCCAACCCTAAACCTACCCTTACAGTAAGATAAATACAGTGTTGGTAGCATAATATGATAGGTAGCATTATTTGTCAGAACACCGGTGCAGCCGCACATGAAAGACCTTGACACAGACAGTCTGCAGTTGTTAGATTCAGAGAAAATGAGGATGTGAGCTAGAACTCTTCTGGAACCCTTAAGTTTGTGCCAGGCTTTCGGCCTTGTCTTTCCATTCAACCAAAGATCCTTGGATCTCAGCTGTCTCTCTTTAGCTCTTTTTCACTTTCCACCTGGGAAGAACGTAACTGCATTCTCTGGTTCTCTAATGGCTTCATTCATCCACTTTAGCTCCCCTTTGTATGTACGCGTGAGTGTATGTTTATTTAGACTAGTTATGTGTTGGTGTTTAGTTAATAAAACGTATGTGCACGAATTACATGAGTTTCTGATTCTGTCATTGGAATAGTAAAAGGGACATTGAATTTACAAGCGATCAAGCTACATGCTCGAATGCATTAATCATGGATTTTTTTTTTTTGCCCACAAGAACGTGTTTTTGACAAAAATATAAGCTTCACATCACTTCTGTTTTTAACTCTCCAGAATTTCTGTGGTCTTAGACTTAGCTCCTAGGCCATTGTAGCGTTTGGACCAATTAGACACCCAATTATTTGTTATATTTAACAAATAATCTCTAACACCCCCTCACCCAACCAAAGGGTCCACTATGAGGATCTATGGACCCTTCCCCCAAAAAGCAGCTAACACCTCAAAAAGGCAGAACAGGCCTCTGGTTCCATGGCAACCAAAGACAAATCATCAGATAACACTAGTTTTATTGCTCAAAGGAATTGCAGGCAGAGCAACACTTACTTCATTTACCCATAGGAAAGACACACAATGCCATAGAAATGGACTCTTCCCTATTCATTCACAGACAAACCTTGACCTTCCTATCACACTTATCCTCAGGTAATTGTGTATATTATTACTGTCCTTGTTTATTGTCTTTTGTATTGTATACTGTTTTATGCATGCTTATGATAGAAACCCTCATTCATGTAATCTTACCTATATACCATGTTTGGTCTCTATGAATTCATCTTTGGATGATCTAATTGAGTTTATATTTATTTGTTGATACTTATGCAACATATTAGTGTTCTAAGAATCTTTAGTAGTTTTGCATCAACACCCAGTCGAATTGCATTTGGAAATTACCATGCTGCGAAGACAAAGAGTCATAAACTTTCCTTCCAAAAGTGCAAGTCACCATTGGCTCTTTGACTCCCGAGAGATGTGACCTCCACAGAACTTAAAAGGCCTCACTTCAGTGACCCGCCTTGCTTTTTAGTCTTTTCACTCATCTCTCATCACCTTCCCGTCTTCTGGTTGCTAAGTCCCAGAGCCTGTTTTCTGACGATTTGTGCTACCCTGTCAGATTTTGCTACCTCCCATTAAAACAGATGGTAGCATGATTCGATAGCGAAAAGTGCTACCTATCAGATTTTGCTTCCAGCATGATATTAATGAGGTGTGAGGCTGTACACCTACCCCAACCCTAAACCTACCCTTACAGTAAGATAAATACAGTGTTGGTAGCATAATATGATAGGTAGCATTATTTGTCAGAACACCGGTGCAGCCGCACATGAAAGACCTTGACACAGACAGTCTGCAGTTGTTAGATTCAGAGAAAATGAGGATGTGAGCTAGAACTCTTCTGGAACCCTTAAGTTTGTGCCAGGCTTTCGGCCTTGTCTTTCCATTCAACCAAAGATCCTTGGATCTCAGCTGTCTCTCTTTAGCTCTTTTTCACTTTCCACCTGGGAAGAACGTAACTGCATTCTCTGGTTCTCTAATGGCTTCATTCATCCACTTTAGCTCCCCTTTGTATGTACGCGTGAGTGTATGTTTATTTAGACTAGTTATGTGTTGGTGTTTAGTTAATAAAACGTATGTGCACGAATTACATGAGTTTCTGATTCTGTCATTGGAATAGTAAAAGGGACATTGAATTTACAAGCGATCAAGCTACATGCTCGAATGCATTAATACTGTAAGGTTATTTTCTGTGCCCACGAAAGTATCATTTCTTAGAGTTGATATGAAATTATACTGAATGTATGTTCGCGGGACGAACAGACTAGTTGATGACAATATTAATTCTGCTGCAGTTACTACTGGCAGCTGATATAAATATTTGAAATTAATTATAATTAATTGTAATTATTTATATACATTTCCCTTTTGAGCTAATTTGCTACACCACTGTAAGTGAGCATCAGTCGATAGCAACCAGGTAGGTCAATGTTCTACAGCTCCTTAGAGCATATCGGTTAGGGCAATCTGTAGAAATATATTTAAAAACTGTATCTGAATAATATTATTTTTACTGGAGGGGGGTCACCTTCCAAACAAATCAAAAACTTTAAACATGCTTGTTATACAACATGCCAACTTTGAAGTGGAAGCAAACATATTTAATAACTCTTTATTCAAATCCATGTTAGTCACAGAAAAAGCATCACAGCATTTTTCCAGCATACATGTTGATCACAGAAACATTGTTTTTAGGATAGTAAAAGCACAGAAAAAAATGCAATGGAAAATGAGGTTAGAAATCCCTAAAAAGCTGTAAAAGATATTTTAATTTTTTATGGAACACCTATGTAACTACATTAACCAAAAAAACAACATGCTATCAAAAATATGGACAAAAACAAAGACATGGATATAAGTGCATCCAGGTCTGGGCTCATGATGTGGAGTGTATATTTCAACAATCAACAGTTCACATTCTTAAATGAGTGTGTATGTATCTTAAAGTAACAAGTAAACAAATAAAGAAGGGATGGTGAAGCAATTGTTGGCAACTTTCAAACAAAACAGAGAAAAAAAGTTACAGCAAAAAAGTTACACTTATGATTGTTTTGAACTTTCTATACTTTGTAATAAGTTGTATTGTACTTGCTAATTATCTGAGAGATTACTTTGACAGATTGTACCTTAATATTACAGTATAAATTGCTTTATATAAGGGAGCAAATATGCAGGTGCACAAAAGGCACTGTTTTCACAAGTTTGTACTGATGTCATTTGTAAATAATTTCTAAGTTTTCCCTGATATGAGAGTGACTATTAGGGTAAGACAACAGAAGTACTTCATACAGAATCTATATTTGGTTTCTTTCTTGTCTGAGAAGAACAGAGAACTTCCATGTGTCTGTGTACTGTGAGAGCAGGATCTCTTCAGGGAAGAACTCATCCACCTCAGGAGGAATGCCCAGATCTTTACGCTCCATGTAGGACACAACAGTGTCTTTAAGACTGGAAGACAGACAGAATTTAGTGAGTTATGATAGATTTTCATATGTTCAACAGGAGCTTTAGAGTGCACATCACCACAATCTTAACAAGGCACCCACAGATTCTGCTCTGCAGATTGCTGTAGAACACAAAACCCAACTTAATTAACTGATTATCTTGAGATATAGTATTTTCAGTGTAATACTTTTTGCCACCACAATTTTATAGATTTTTTTTTGTAAACGGCATATAATTTTCTTCTTTCATAGTCCACAAATTTGTATTCAGACATTTTTTTGGTCAATAACTACATACATTATATACTGTGTGTATAATATGTATGTATGTATGTATGTACAAAATTCAATAGTTCAATATTTACCCACTGTATATGCATTATGAAATTGAAATATTGAATACTGAATAATAAGTATTGAACACGTCACCATTTTTCTCAATAAATATATTTCTAAAGGTGCTGTTGACAATTTTCAGCAGATGTTGGTAACAACCCAAATAATCCATACATACAAAGAAAACAAAACAAATTAGTTCAGAAATTAAGTTATGTATAATACAATGGAATGATCCAGGGAAAAAAACTTCGTACAAAAGCCTTTGTTGGTAATGACAACTTCAAGACGCCTCCTGTATGGAGAAACTAGTCGCATGCATTGCTCAGGTATGATTCTTTCACACAAACAGCCTTCAAATCTTGAAGGTTCTGTGGGCATCTTCTATGAACTCGGATCTGTAGTTCTTTCCATAGATTTTCTATTGGATTCAAGTCAGGTGATTGGCCGGGTCATTCTTTAACGAGCTTCAACATGCTTTATCTTCAGCAATGGAGTCTTGCATGGTGAGCAAGACCATACAGGCATGGTGAGACTGAATACAGGCACCGGCGATTGAGTGCATTACTTATTGCTTTCTTTGAAACAATTGTACTTGCTAATTCCAGGTCTTTTGTAAGCACTCCACAAGTGGTCCTTGGCTCTTAGACAACTTTTCTGATAATTCTTTTCACTCCTCTGTCAGAAATCTTGTGAGGAGCACCTGGTTGTGGCCGGTTTATGGTGAAATAATGTTCTTTCCACATCCGGATTATGGCCCCAACAGTGCTAACTGGAACATTCAGAAGTATAGAAATGCTTCTGTAACCAATGCCATCAGTATGTTTTGCAACAATAAGTTTGCGAAGGTCTTGAGAGCTCTTTGCTTTTAGCCATCATGAAATGTTTCTTGTGTGACATGTTGGTAATAAGACACCTTTTTATAGGCCATTAATTGAGACTGAACCAGCTAATATTAATTTCCACTAACAAGGGGCAGGATTGCTTTCTAATTACTGATTGATTTCAGGTCTTGGCTTTCCATGCCTTTTTGCACCTCCCTTTCTTCATGTGTTCAATACTTTTTCCCTGTGTCATTCCACTGTATTACACAGAACTTAATTTCTGAACTTATTTAATAGAGAGTGGGGCTTATGTTCCACAAAACCAGTCAGAAATTACTTTTAGTTTTACAAGCCTTCAGTACAAAAAAAAAAAAAAAACCCCAGCTACTGCTATAACTTGCAGTTCAGTAAGTGAGTCAAATGTTTATTCAGTAACCGCTCTGATGAATTCAGTGAGTTTATTAAGTGTTTGCTAGACTGATTCCAAATGTAATGTAAGTGAAAAGAAATCAAGGAAGGAAGGTGTCCTTTCAAGTAATTTGTTTGTGAATCAGACTACACTAGCGTTATTTTTTGTTTTAGTGCAGCTGATGAGGATAGTACAACTAAAGGACATGCAATATTCTTATTACATTAACAAACTGGGTACATTTTATTTATGCTTGTGGCTCAGAAGAATCAGCATTGCACTAAACACTGGTATAATCACTACATAAGCAATTCTCGAAAATGTTTCATTAACTGTTAAACTGCCTAAATAATGAGCTGAAGCAAAAGTGAAACTGGTTGTGCACATTTGAAGAAAGCAAAATTTAGAAGAAAAGTTGCAGCGCTTGTAATATTCCTAACAGGTCTCACCCCCAGTCAGGCCTAAAGGTGTCCGTAGCTTTTGGGTTCTTCAGGACCAAAAGCAGAAACTCATGCATCTCCAACAGGAAGGCATCAGCGCTGGACTTAGTGAAAAAACTAGTGAGCAGCCTCTTGTGTTCCTCCTGCAAAGGACGTCTGTACTCTTTGCTGATGCCCACAAACGGGTCCTGAAGAGCAGATGAACAGAGTCATTACCACATACAAACTCACTAAAAGCACAAAACAGAATACTATATTTACTGTGTTGAGTGTCTCACCCTCTTCAGACGTAGCATTGTCTCAGATTTCAGAGAGCTGAGCAGCTGCCACAGTGCCACACAGTGTTTCAGGCTGCACCTACTTAATGCCTGCACACACAATTATCACATACAGGTATTACACATTGACAGAAAACAGATTAGGGATTGAGACAGAGCGGTCAATTAGTGAGACTGACAAGTCTAGATTTCAATGTGTGCTACTTTTTAATTCTATGATTAATCGTATGCAGGTCTTTTTTAGCATCTTGCGTCACAAACACTGTGTTTTTGAAGTTAACATCAAGGTTAAAGTATTTCAACATTTAAATATCTCAAGGCCTCTTCTGTTCCACCTAACAGTTTTTTAACACAAGAATGTGTGTTAAAGCCCCCTAAGAGAAGCAAGTCTGATCACGACATTAAACCAATCTAACTATACAGGGCTTCCTTAAGACCAGTGAGGATAGTATCCTTGTAACACCACTGCTTAAAAATAATAAATGCAGAAAGTATGTACATGACCAACCTTGAAGACATGTGGGGCCATGTGGTCAGTCATCTGTAGCACCTCCTTCAAATAAGTGCTCAGCTGCATGTGTGGCTCTCCCCCCGTCATGGCGAGGAAACCCAGGGCCAGTTCGACTGTGGACAGGGCCTCACACACGTCACTGTAGGACTGCAGCTCCTTCACGAGGTCGTACTGTGTCAGAGGCTGCAACGACTCCTTTGGATACACAATAATATAACGGCTTGTGACATGGATAAAATGTTTAAATGCATCTTTTAAAATTAAATTACATCCAATGTTAATACTCATTAAGAGCATTTTGAGCATTGGACCTACATCTAACAATAACATAACCAATACAATGTTATGTAAACATCTATAATGTAATAAATAATATAAACTTACTTGTTGAACTTTGCCCTTAACATCTTTAAATATGATCTCATAATTTCTGTCCTGTCTGTTCACCAGTGTCGGAATACCCTGAAACATGAAAAGACAAAAACACATAACAAAAAAATAAATGCAATTTTACTCTTTTATCTACTCTACTGGTTGTCAAGCCTGAAGAACTACTGAAAACACATCTGAACAGGCATTTTTCAACTCTTGTGGTGCTGTGACATACATTAAGGGTGATGTGTGGTTTGCCCTGTAGAAAGCGGGTGAGGATCTGCTGCTGAATCTTGGGCAGGTCGTACTCGGCCAGGGTTTCCTGCCCATGCTCCATCCTATATTGGCAGTTGGACAGCACCAATGGCAGCACATCCCGCTCATACTCATAACGGATCACGTGCATCTCCGTCAGGTCACCTGGGCTTACCGTGTAACTGGAAGGAAACAGGACAGAGAATGACCTGGATGTGTCTACCTGGGAAATTGGGTGTGGTAGGCTTAAAACTGCTAAATTTAACTGCTAACTCACAGTGATTCAGGGTTCTGAGTGTTTTTTCCCCCAGTGTGTTGCTATGTGGTCCCCAGCGTAATATAATATTAAATATTATAATATAATATTACACCACTAAGCAATATTGTTGTCTTTAGTTACGACGCAGAACCCTAGTTCAAAGTAAGCCTGTAGGTGTTTTTTTCACTCATCCAGCATCACAAGCTGTTTTATCATCTGCAAAGTGAAAATTGTAAGTCTGATTTCAAAGTAATGTTGAAATGTTTCAATGAAATATTGGATTTTTTAAAAATTGTTTTTAAGTTGATGGTCTGTTTAGTTTAGCTTATTTATCACAATAAATCAAGAGTCACTGACCATTGTGCTGTACAAAAATAGCAAAACCAATATAAAAAAATAAATCAAAACAATAAAATAGCTTTTTTCTCTGTACGTATTATGTCTTTGTATGCTCAGCATGACACACATATTATAAGCCTTCTCTAAAAGGAAGGTTTTAAGTTTTGCTTTAAACAGAGAATCTGTAGCGATTATCCTAACAGATAAAAGGTAGGCTATTCCACAATTTGGGGCTGACTATGACAAAAGCCCAGTCTCCCTTTCTCTCTGATTTGATGACCTTAAACATCTAGCAGATATGTTAAGTCACAAGTTCAGATAAATAAGAATGTGCTAACCCATTTAAGACCTTATAAACAAAGAGTAAAATCTTAAACTCTATTCTAAAACACACCGGCAACCAATGCAGAGAGAATAAGACAGGGGTAATGTGGTCATTACCACTAAGAAGTCTAGCAGCTGCATTTTGGACCTTGAGTTAAGCTGGCAGAGAACTATTGCTGAACAATCAATAACAGTAAAACGTAAACATCTGAAGACTCATGGTATGAAATATCTCTCATAGCCACAAATGGTACATGATGAGTTATGTCATGATGATTAATACTTATGAGTTATTGACTTCAGCAAACCCATAACCCTAAGCAGTGACTACTATATCAAACACCACAAATGACATGCGACTAAATTTGCTGAATCTCTTACCCAGACTCCTCTCTGGTGTATTTTTCAACAGTGTAGATGAGGTCATTGTGCAGGGTGATGAGGTAGCTGACGAGGGCAGTGGAGCACAGGCCCAGGCCGCTTCTTTGCGGCAGCAGCACCTGCATGTCTGCATCCAAACCCAGATCCTCCCGAGTGTAATCGTCCGGCAGCTTTATCTCTCCTGACACAAACAGAGCATCTCATGCATCACTCATCAATGGAAAAAAATAATAGACATCAGTCGAAGAAATTACTGCACAGTGGTCTAAAGTGGAAAGAAAGTGGTCACGACAGTGGAAAGAATAAGACAGTGCAGAAATCCAAATATTCACAAGCATTCACGGATTACTCATAAAATGAGGTCTGATCGCAATTTAATGAGCAATTATAGACAAACAAATCTGACTAAACTAAGAAATGTATAAAGTTGCACTTTTCACATTTCTATTGAATACATTATTTAATCACTAACAGTGTATGGTGGAGAAAGCAGCAATTGAATTTTCTACATTTGTAGACAGGGCATCATACCTACTTATTTATGAATAACTTAATAGGTCTTTACCAATGCTAAAGCCTTGTCCAGGTTTGTGCATCTCTGTAATGTGTACAATACAAAACATTAAAATAAATGTTTACATATTTTAAGGATTTTTTTATTTTTATTTTTTTTTATTTTATTTTTTTTTAAAGTCAAGTGAAGTCAGCTTTATTTGTTGGTAACCAGGCTTTGTGTGCCTTAAATAAAGGGCAGAGCACCCACACTTCCAATCTTATCTCCTTAACTGACTTCAATTAGCTTTAGGAAAAGTTGTAACAGAGAGCAGGCTGGATAAAGTACTGCAATTGAACCGGTCAATGAACTGTACTTTTCAACATTTTATTGAAGACACTGACTATGTTTTGTGTTATTAGTTAAATCAGACTGTGTTTGTCTAGAATTGTGACTTGAAGATCAGACAACACTTTAATCAATACAGAAATTCAGTTATTTTCACAAACTTATGCTTGCCATTGTAGACAGGAGATGGTTTACCTGTGGTAGCCAGAGATACCCTGATTTGGTTCCAAGTTGATATAAAGATTTTTATGCGCTTTTCATACCAAGCAGTGAGTGAAGCTGTTGAATGAAAACATGGCACAATCACTATGTTTGCAATGAAAGTAAACGTTATTATTAGAGAAATGGCATATACTTGCATATAATGGCTAAAAACATTTGTGCTGAATCAACCATCAACAAGCTTACTGAAATGATTAACAACAATGAAATGATCATAGACCAATCATGAATATCTCCATACTGACTCAACACTTTCCCATGGCAAATCATTACTAATATGGTGGTACCTGCTTTCTGATTTTGCAGGAACTCTCCAATAGTGTTGTAGTTTAGCTCTGTCATGTTCTGGAACTTTTTTACCAAATCCCTCTGGAGAACCAATATGTCTGGAAGGAACCGCACTAACCGTAGCTCTGCTTCCTGAAATATACAGCTTTACAGTTTCTGTTTTCTCTACATTTTTTTGCCATGATTTTAATACAGATTTTTTCCACTCGTTTTATTACTGCAGATAAACCCACCACTAATCAGCATGTTAAAACAAAATAAACTATGGCTGGTCCTTCATATGTCAGTAAGACTAACCTAGAAAGTAATCTAGTAAGTCAAGCATGCTAATAATCAAAGGACTGTCTGCACAACATAAACAATCTGTCTAGAAAGCAGGCATCATGAAATGCATTCTCTGGTTGTTCAACTAATGAGAAACACTCTGGTTGATAAATATCTTACCCTCTGAAGGAACCTCCAGAGCACTGGCAAGGTGTCCCGGCCACTGTTTTGCTCCACAATGTGGGTCAAACTCAACGTTGAGACCTTCCTTCTGCAGCTCCAGATGGATGAATTATGGATGAGGGAGTTCTGGGGCAGAGAGCGAAGGAAAAGCCCTGGCTCCCCAAATGTCAACTTCATCACTGGATTAGAAGACACTCGCTCATCTTTCCTGATGAAGGCATTCACTTCCTTTAGCTGATGCTCCAAAACCTGAGAGAAAGATCAAAGAATGGAAAGTAATAATTCGCAAATGTAAGGGTTATGAGAAATACCCTACTGCTGAGGTCATTAATGCAACAATTAATCAACAGCTCTTAAACATTCAGGTTTTACTTTCTTGTTAGGTCCAGTGTTATAAAACAACTACTCAAGAATGAAAAATGTTTTGGAAAATCAAGCATGATTTACACACTAAAACTAAGTTGCATAATGCATTCTGGGTTCTGTGATGTACTAAAAGATGACATGTTCACCTTCAGCTGATGTGTGATGACATCAGTATTCATGGCATTTTCCCATCCATTTCTTGCATCTTTAGTGGAAAGGTTTGGATCGTAAGTAACAGGCCCTGTTTAGAATATCAAAATGTTATATTTCTTGAATTTCTGAGGTAGGAGATTAATATGGCAAGTGACAAATGTAAGATGAGGTGTGGGACTCTTACACTGGCTGGTCTGATGGGGATCCAGTAGACGGTGGATGGTCAAATGGATTGAACAGACTGTATCATCCAGCCCTTTGCCTAGAGCTCTGCTTAGTTGCTCCATGTCCTTCAAAAGATGGGTCATCAGGAATGGGCCAGGATCCAGCACAGCAGGCTTGATGATCTGCCTGACACTCTTAAGAGAAACACACAAGAATATGGGATGAATTTAGTTAAAGGTGCTCTCAGTAAGTTTTTATGTTTAAGTTTGGCTGGCTTTACACCAGAGCTGGGTTTGGTTCTTAATACATTTCCTCAGTTCTTCAAACAAATGTGTGTATTTGATCTGGATGTATGTAATGTATGCATCACATGTATACTCAAAACCAGAATTGGGATATGACCGTATATATAGAAAAGGAAAACAAAGAATGTAATACCTGTGGGTTGTTCTGAGCTCCCAGCAGCATGGACATGTGTGTGAGCAGTCTGAGAAGAGCGAAGGGGGCAGGTGACATATTCTTAGTGTCCTGCATGTCAGGTTGGTCACGACGCTGCGCATCACCCAGAATGTGTCCCGACTGAGTACGGTCCCCTCTGCAAAGAGGTACAATTGCCTCAAATTGATTAAAACAATTACCTCTAAGAATCACCTCTAAAAAGACACCATCCACATCTCTACAAATCATTATGGCTAATAAATGGCTAAATTTAAAATCAAGAAAAGCCTTAGTCAAAACTGATTTAACAGTCAGTCTTTTATATAAGGAATGACACATAGGAATGTACAGTGTGCAAGTCAATACAGCAAAATAAATCCCAAGATTTTCATTAAAAAGGCTAATTTTGTATTGTTCAATAAATCTTTACCATAAAGGTCTATATATTAACATTAATTACAATATTTTACATGAAATAATACTTCTAAACATTTATTAATTATGTTTAGTTTAATATATGAATGCATTTTGAACTTTTAAGGTAAAAAAAGAGAAAAAACAAGCATTCATTGCAATAGTAACTCACTGTATCTGCATGGTTTGGAAACCTTGAACAGGATTGTGGTTGATGCCACCTATTGGTGCATGACAGTCTGGACAGCGACCAACCTCCATGGGTTGACCACACTGGACAGATAACAGAAAGAAAATCATGTTTTAATTTTAAGAAGAAGAACAACAACAAAATACAAATTTAATTATGTGACAATTAACATCTAGTTAATGCAGTGTTACTGCAAATCATAGGAATTAAGTCACATGACCCTACCTCACCAACAGTGCATGGATGACCATTAGGACAGACTGTCAAACACAAAGGGACACCAGAGATTAGGAAATGACGATATATAATCCTCTCAATGCAGAAAGCCATGTCAATGGCAAGGACCTGTCAAAATTCCAGCCCCCTTGGACCCCATGGTGACTCAAATAGGTTATCCCTTTTACTTTATTAATACATGCATTCTGGACTTGTAAACAATTCTTCAGTTTTTTTTTCTTTTCATAATCTTTTATTAAATTACTTAAAAGTAAACTAAGAAGTTAAATAACTTGCTCCATCTCTGAAATGACTTTTCTTTTTCACTGACAATAACAAGGCCCTCTCATTTTTCTACCTCTCCCTTCTAGCACCTCCATTCAGGTACAGTATGTACTGTAAATCACCAATGGAGAAAATTCTGCCATACATTTTTTTTAAATATCCCATTTCACTTTAAAATGTCATATTAGAACAATAATATGGTTTGCAAAATCAGTTTAATTTTATGTTATCATAGCAAACTTTTGTGGAATTTCATTCTGTAAGATATATTACCATAGGTCAATAGGCATACATTATTGCTGTTGCTGTTATTTTAGGTATTACAACAGAGAGGTACTCAATATAACAGAAAATTACATTTTATGTAAGACCCAGGCAAACAATGTAAAATATATTATCTTAGAACTTCATTATCAGAACTTTGGGAGTTTGTTTAATTATCACTGCATTAACATCAGCTAGAACAGGGTAAGGTAATTTAATATTGCATTTCTGGTTAGATATTAACCACTGGGTTTCCAGGTGCACTGAATTTTTCCAGGTCTTGAATTTTGCATAACACTTGCAAATTCTAAAGCAGCACAGACAACCACAATCCACTTACAATACCACTGAAGTTGTCCCAGGGCCTGCTTGGCAACTGCCAACATGTCATCAGGCATAGTTGGGATGAATGAAGCCTGTCAGGAGAACATGATAGAAATATCACACTTAAACACATTTTAGTCACCACGTAAAGTGTGAAGGGTTCATACCATCATGTTGTTTGGGGACAGTGCCAGTTGCTGCAGTGGCTTAAGTAAAGGCAGATTTCCACACAGCAGGACTGCAGCCATGTGAACTGTAACCTCTACCAGCACAAATTCTCTGCCTGACGTCTGTGGTTGTACACGCAGAGCATGAAGATCATTTTTCACCAGCGCTTGAGCAAATGCTCTCATTTCATTATTGACAAAGACTTCTGAGCTTCTGATAAAATCTTCAAGGCCAGCACATTGCTAAAGAAAACAACATGAATATCAGACACACAGCAGTGATATACATTTATCAAAAAAATCAATAGAATACAGAAAATATGGCTTATTATACAGTATATAATTGTTGTGTAGAGTATGTTTGTGTTTTTACCTCAGGTTTAGGGTGCATGTTGGGGTTTCCACTTCTGTACAGGGCGGTGACTTCTCTGAACAAAGCCAGTAGCAGATAAACAGCTTTCTTCATGGGTGTGCAGTTGCAATCCTTCTGACAAAGATGTTTTGAAAGACATTACAAACTGGTCAGCACAGATAAAGCAGTTTAACAAAACTGAGGAAGAGAAATGGCAAGTATTTGATTGCATATTTTAAGCATTTACTTTCAGTGTTCGTGTAGTGGCCACAATACCTACAAACTATTGAACTGCCTCGTTACTGTATAATGAGGCATCCTAACCCAACTGGAACTTTACAAGTGACTGAACTAAATCTCTGTTAATGGTCACTAGCAGGGTCAAAAACTTTTCCATTAAGAGGCAATATAACAATGTATACACTTATCTTATTAAATGAATCCGTTTAACAAAAAAAAACAAAGTTACTTGAATACTACTGACAGTTACCATTGAAACGATCAAAATCAACAATCAGCCATCAGATTTATTAGATTTTATTTACTTGTGCAGGATCATTTTTTACCCCTCTTGAATTTGGCCTTTTTTCCATTTTAGTGACATTTTTGCCCAAAGCCCCTGTTAAATTCTGACTCTGGTCACTGCCACAGAGATGCACTCTGGTATTGTCTATCCACCTTATTTTTGAACGCGGACGTAAGCCGTTTTCTGTGAATGTGCAAGATTTCCAGTTTATTAGCCATTGTTGGGAAATAACAAGAGGAATAACAAAAGTGCAGTAAACGATAAAAACTGCACTATAAACCAGTGTGTTCATAGTTAAGATAATACATTAAAATATTATAGTAAGACATCAATTTGTAATATCAAGCAGCAAAATGAGCGGTTTTGTACAGCTAGAAATAGCTGGAAGCGGATATGACACTGGAAGTCACCCATAAAAATTATAGTAAGACATCAATTTGTAATATCAAGCAGCAAAATGAGCGGTTTTGTACAGCTAGAAATAGCTGGAAGCGGATGACACTGGAAGTCAGACCCATAAAATTTACAAATGGCCGTGCCTGCTCTTAAGGGGAAAATAAGGTGGATAGGCAGATCTCTAGATTTTGGAGCAGTGTGTCTGTGTGTGTGTGTGTGTACACGTTGCAAAGGAGTAAACAAATACCTCAATAGCTTTCTGTATTGCATTCATGTTGCAATCTAGCATGGCTTTGGCTACTGCATCTCGAACAGTTTTGTAGTCCATTCCACATGCTAGATACTGGTCAATTTGACTGTCATCTTGATTCTGAGAGAAATAAACGTAGCAGTTAAAGAATAAATACTTGTCACTCATGCCAGGATTATGAAGTTAAACTAAAATGTCTCAGGTTACATATGTAACCATGGTTCCCCGAGTAGGGAACGAGACACTGCATCCTCTAGGGGTCGCTATGGGGAACGCCTTGTCGTGACCCATGTCTGAAGAAGTCACAGAAATCCGTTAATTCTCAGCACATAGAAACTCTTTCACCTAGATATCACACTATAGAGATTGTGTCTGTTCCCCGATCTAGAAAATACAAAAAACGTCCAAACCACTTTAAGAGTAACAATTTAATTGATGTTCAACAAATAAAAAACAGATGCAATACGGATAAACAAATGATAAAGCTTGGCTTATTGAATATCAGGTCCCTTTCTACAAAAGCACTTTTTGTAAATGATATGATCACTGATCATAAACTAGATGTGCTCTGTTTGACAGAAACCTGGCTAAAACCTGATGATTACAATATTTTAAATGAGTCTACCCCCCAAGATTACTGTTATAAACATGAGCCACGTCCAAAAGGTAAAGGGGGAGGTGTTGCTTCAATTTATAACAAT